GCTTGGTTCTTTTCTTGCAAGAAAAGAACCAAGCTCCGAGAACCCCAAGGACTCCAAATTTATATGCGCAAAAGCAGCTGTGAGAAGATGATTAAATTTCAGTAGTTGTTGGAATATGAGTTCCTATAGGATGGCTTGTCAGTTGTTAATGTATTCAGTAGATGCTTGATTGGGCAATTGATTTTTCTTATTTGTGATTTGTTTTTATCTGAAGGAAAGGGATAAAATAATGCCTCTAATTATCCAAGGATTTAAAGATGCTGCAGAAGAGGCAGGAACGTCAGTGACTGGTGGTCAAACAGTATTAAACCCTTGGATTGTTTTAGGAGGAGTAGCTACAACTGTCTGTCAGCCTAATGAGTTTATCATGTAAGTTGGAGCATTTTATCCCAAGGAAAAGGTGCTGAAAGTATTAAAAGAGGTAGCTACTTCTAAAATTCTGAATTGTTTCCTTTATGTGTTGTTAACTGTGAGGAAATTAAAAGCTTGTTATTGGCTCTGGACTAGTGGGTATTAATGATGATGCATGTTTTTCTGATGAACTTTTGCAAATTTATTAGAGGGTTCATCTTGCAAACTATGCACAATTAAGCATAGTTGGCTTAATTGTGGTTTATTTAAAAAGTTATACTTGGTCAGGCTCACACAAGATGCCAAACAATAAACTTTGGTTTGCAATATTCAATGTTTGGATTAAAATAATGCTGTAAACAAAACCAAAAGAAAAAATAATCACATTGCAGCTTCAGTGATACTTGAGAATTCATTATAATAGCAGCTCAACAGTTCCTACTGTGGTTATATTGAACTATGTCGTTTTCACTAATCAGCACCATGAAGAAAGTTTATCTATTTCATCCAAACTGGAAGAACAGTATGGGTGTAAATACTTCCATGATTCCAACTGTTAATATCCAAGCTCTGAAAATCTTTTTTTCGATGTCTAAAATAAAGGCAACAAAACCTTATACTGAAGTGTTAAATGTTTTGAATAGAAGTAATAGACACTGAAAGCAATAACAATTTTCTCTGAGAGCAAAATTGTCACTCTAGCATTACATGTGACTCAGGCAAGATGTACTAGTAATCTTCACTATATATTTGTAAGCCTTGATAATCATCTGTGGTTATATGAATGAATGAACTCATTTAAGATAATTTATGGTACCTAAATGAGTGTCTTTTATTTGGTTGTTTTCATTGTATTTTTGTTTACAAAAATATGATATTTGGATAATATTAAATAAATTTTGTGGAATAATTACTGAAAAATAATGACAGCATGTGTGCTTTTTAAAAATATACATTCATTACTTCCAGGCCAGATAATGCTGTACCAGGAGATGTGCTGGTGTTAACCAAACCATTGGGAACACAAGTAGCTGTAGCTGTCCATCAGTGGTTAGACATTGTAAGTAAATCACTTTGAATATGAACTTGATAAAGGGACATAGAAATGTTAAGATACCCCTTTCTGTGATTAAGCTATGCAAAACTTTGAACAAACTAGGCTAACTCTAATTTCCTTAATACCAACCTTTTCTGTTGGCCTGTGTTTGGTTCATATGCATTAAATATCTGGAGATAAGACCTTGGAATGTGGTTAGATCTGTTTATGTATGCAAAGTTGTCATTGTAAAAACAAACACATTTCTGGGTGCACATTGACAATGGTGTATCTATAGAGATCTGTTTCAGAAAAACACTTTTTATTGTACTTCAAGCAAAATTTATTGAAGATGAAATGTAGAAAAGAAATAAGATACACTGTTTTTCTAGTTTATCCTTAGAAATTTGTTGTGTAGTTGAAATATATTCTGAAACTGTATATTTTAAGTGCTGCTAATTCTCTGGTTCTCATCCAGCAAACACTTAGCAGAGAAAGAAGTTAACCTGAATCTATTTATAAACAAAAGAGATGTTCTGATTGTGGCTGTGTAAACAAGTTCTTCACTATGCCACCTTTTTGCCTCTTTCTTTTTCAAGGAAAGACAAAATGTTAAAATCAGTATTGGTCACCATGTATATTATATTGAAAGCTTCTAAATGAAATTTAAATTGGATTATAAAAATGTCTTGGAAAATGAACTGAACTGCTACATCATAGAAAACTAGTTACATGGTATGTCAGTAGTTGCTTAGCCTATCAGACCTATTGCTGCTTAGGTAAGGTGGAGCCATTAATTTTTACTGATTTTCCTTTGCCTGCTTAAGGCCCCCTCCAAACTGCTCCTGATATCTGGGGGGCCTTTCAGAGCAGAGTAAGTTCAATATGTGGAAAGGATTGATAAAATTGATTCCCCAAAAGCAATCATGGACAACATGTGGCCTTCAGATAATGGACTGCCACTCCCATCAACCTTCACCATTGACTGTTATGGCTAGGGATGATCTCAGCTGGATTTTAACAATACTGGAAGATTGCACGTTTTTTTGCATTAAGGCAGAGCCACTGTTGGATGTAACCCTGAGATCCTTTGGGATATTCTTTCTCTTCTAGAAGTTTTCTTGGGAAGATCGTGGGAGATAGGTGGTCTGCCCACTTTCTTCCTCTTAATATGAGGAGACATTAGCAAATAGTCCAGGGAATCATCTAATTATTTGATTTCCCCACATTGAAGGCTACTTCAGACATTTGGAAAGTATGGCAATAACTGCCCTCCTTTGAGTGTTGATAGGGAACTTAGTGATTAAGTTGTTACAGTGTTTTCAGTAGTCAGGGACCGTGCACAGTCAGTTTAGAGTTTTACTTTGGACTTTCCCTATCAATATGGAGAGAATGGGGATTGGAATGTGTAGTCTGCATCTCCATATACCATCCCTGTACTTTGGAAACTCTCAATCTTGACCTCAAAGACTTGAAGATTGAACCATCCAGGCTCCAGTTCTTTACAGGATCTTTTTTTGAGATGAGTTTGGATAGTTAGCATTGATAGAATCATCTTCTTATCAAGCATTTCTGCAGACTTTGAACACTTCTTGATTTATTGCTCACTGGGGTTTTCTGTTTATAGCAATAGTTGTATATTACTGAAATCTACATGGTATTGCCTAGCAAACCATCTAAAATCATATTCATATTAGTAACTTGCATTTCAAATCATGTTAATGTTACAAATACCCCATAGACCTGTTTTTGAGTAAATAAGCATAGGATCTTAGACTGTTCAAATAGTGAAAATCGAAGTGGAATATGAAGTGCTTCAAAGAATCTCTTCAGGTTGGTGAATTGGCACTTAATGCTTTTCAGTACAGATATAATGTGAACTAGGAGGTTTGGGGGGAATCTTAACTGCACATGTAGATTGATGGACTTGAATTGGTGTCCAACTAAGAAATAAGTCTTGGGAATAGTTCAGTATAAGATCATGCTAGTATGCTGCTAATGTGAAATGTCAAATTCCATCCTAAAGTTATCAGGAAAGAGTAAGAGATAACTGTATAAAACTTTACATTCTACCAACAATGTAGACAAACGTAGCCTTTTTCTTTCCTTCTATGCACTAGCCAGAAAAATGGAATAAAATCAAGTTGGTTGTTACACAAGAAGATGTGGAACTAGCATATCAAGAAGCAATGATGAATATGGCAAGACTCAACAGAACAGGTAAGGGTGGGTAGTCAGTTTATTTTGGTCCGTGACCAGAACAAAAGAGAGGTAGTAAGGAAATGGGTATATATGGCACAGATCTGTTTAGATTGCTGGAAAGTAACATGGTCCTTTGGAATGTTTAAGAGACCTTGCACTATGTATCTAGCTATAGAATAAAGCACAGTTCAGCATAGAGAGCCACTTTGATGTAGTGGTTAAAGGCATCAGGGCTAGAAACCAGAAGGCTGTGTGTTCTAGACCTGTTGGATGACTTAGCACCAGTCTCTCTCTCAGCTCTCTAGGAAGAAGGCCAGGGCAAGCCACTTCTAAAAACATTGCCAAGAAAACTGCATGGACTTGTTCAGGCAGTCACCAGGAGTCCACATACACACATGTGCATGCACATGCACACACGCACACTTTCATTATAATCTAATAAATGCTAGAATGCAGGGTTTCTCAAATAGCTGGGGACTGGGTTCTTTTTTCAGTACTTTTTGTGGCTAAAAATATAAACGTGCATGTGCAAAATGCCGATTTTGCACACGTGTCAAGTAAAGTTTCGTAAAGCTTATGTCACCTGATCACCAGTGCCCTGGCTGAGGGCTTCATTGTAAAGGTTTCTTCTTTCCAATCAGAACACTGGCAAGATCATGACTGCACTGCTCTGGTTAGAAGGGAAAAAGAGTGATTATATTTTTTGAGGATTGGCCATTTTTTTGCTAGGACCATGGCATTCGTTTTGGGAAATGCAGCTCTAATGTATTAGAGATAAAAATATATATCTTTAAAAATAGAGTTCAAACTGGAAACATTTAGAATAGCAATTTCTCTTTAATGAATATGCATGTAATATATATGCATGAAAGAAAGGTTCTGAAGCTTTCCATGATAGGATGATATGGAGATCATTCTGTATAGCACTCTATCATTTCTAACATGTAAACATCCTTTTACATTATAAATCCACCCTAATAATCAAATCAGAAGTTCTGATTTTCTGTATCTTACTCTCTTTCCTCCACGTTCATCATAGGCATGTTTTTCTAACCACCATGATGCCAAAAGAACAAAATGCATGTTGTAATGTCACAGCACAAACTCTGCCTTTTCATACTTGAGTTGCAGCATTGCATGCAGCTACATAAAGGGCAGAGTTTGTATTGTAATGCACATTTTCTCACTTGCCCCCCCACTCATCCCACCCCCATGGACACCTAGGCCATTTGTATCAGTGTCTGTTCATTTAATTCCTATGTTCCCACTTTCATAAAAGCTTTCTTCAGCTAAAGAAATACTTAACATCCTTAATCACAGTTATTAGGGTATTAATATTGGCATAAACAGTCTAATGTAAATATTTTGACTTTATGTCATTATTCATTTTCTGGTACTCAGGAACAGCTTCTTGGATTTTGCCTGACCAGGTTTAACTTTTGGTCAGTTCTGAATGGAGGGCTTCAGTCCTTTACTTCTGTAATGTGAACAGTTATAAAAAATAAAATTCACCCTAATATGAAAGGATATAATTCAGTAATTCTGCATCAAAGAAAGAGAATGAAATCTGTGAAGGATGGTTAAGTTTGAACTGTTTTGGCTTGTTGCCTCCAGAATTGTCTTCACCAGCCATCATTATACCCATTATGTAAGAATAGAGGTATGGATTGTAGCTCTCTGTCCTTTGCTTTTCTCATACTGTCTGTTACTATAGAAGGGAACCATGTACAGTGCATTCGGAAAGTATTCAGACCCCCTTCACTTTTTTCAATTTTGTTATGTTGCAGCCTGATACTACAATCATTCAAATTCATTTTTTTTCTCATTAATGCTTTTCTCATACTGTCTGTTACTATAGAAGGGAACCATGTACAGTGCATTCGGAAAGTATTCAGACCCCCTTCACTTTTTTCAATTTTGTTATGTTGCAGCCTGATACTACAATCATTCAAATTCATTTTTTTTCTCATTAATCTACACTCACCACCCCATAATGACAACGTGAAAACAGAATTTTAGAAATGTTTGTAAAATTATTAAAAAGAAAAAACTGAAATATCACATGTACTTAAGTATTCAGACCCTTTGCAACAACACTTGAAATTTAGCTTGGGTGCCTCTTGATAGTTGCTGAGCTGTTTCTACACCTTGATTGA